TAGACCTCATTCAGTCATCTTGCCATTTGCGTGTGAAAAAAACAGTGGAAAGGTTAAAACAGCATTTCTGTATTTTCACTCTTTAAAAACTTGGACATTCAGATCCTCAGATGGTGGAAATCAGCATAACTCCTCTAAAGCGAAACAGATTCGCTCTGCTTTACAAGCCCTTAGGAGCTAGCCTATCTTGGGAAACAAAGGACTGTGTTTCTGCTAGTTTCAGAAACTCTCTAGTCTTGTTGATTATCGTGTAAAAAGCCAGGTTAGTGTACACAGTGCTTTACAAAGCACAGTATAAGACAATCCATGCCTCTGGTGGCAGATATGTTTTGCCTAGTTATTTATTAAAACATTCAGTGCTCTTTTGGGAGTGAGCAGCCATGTATTACACTAAGCAGGTATTTTAATGATTTCAGCTAATTGTCCTGGTCTCTTAAGTTTTTAAAATCATGTCTTTTTCAAGCAAATGCATGGTTATGTCCATGAAAAATAAAGTGGAACAAGTAGCAACAGCAGCCTGTGCTAGAAACACATTTGTAGTTTCTTTTAACATCTATTTGTGATCAGATCTGAACCCCCTTCACCACTGAACACAGTGACCCTACATACATCTATCCCTCCTTGCTGAAGTTCAGGGTTATTTCATAATTCTTCATACTTCATAGTGAGTCACTTTCAGAATTAGTAAAGAGCCATGTGTATGGTGAGACGGAAGAGAATGGGGAATAATCAAGAAGAGGGAGGGGGGAAATGCTACCACCACTGAAAAATTTCAACATAAGATATAATACTTTGGGCGTTGTAGGCATTAAGCAGCAAAAAATGTGAATGCCCCCATTTGTTTACCATGCTTTGGGTGTTTTCTGCAAAGATGTACTAGCGTCATTTGCAAAGGATAGATGATGGAACCTTTACTTGCATCAATGAGGATTTAATCCCGTGAGTAGCCCCTTTGAGGTCCCCGTGTCTATTCCTGAGAATATTCATCAGTATGCATTTATTATTGGGTTCAATATTGTGCAGGCAAATACGGGCACATCTACATAGCAGCATTTGTTATTTCAGAATAACATTAGTTATTTTGAAATAACATAGTGCGCGTCTACACTACAAGCCATTATTTTGAAATAATGTCGAGCTGGAGGACTTCTTACTCAGGCCCCTGTAACCCTCACTTCACGAGGAGTAAGGGAAGTCGAAGGGACCATGTTCTTCAGCTTCCTGCTGTGTAGACAGTGCCAAAAGTCGAATTAAGCTATTTCGACTTCAGCTATGCAATTGACGTAGCTGAAGTCGCATAGCTTAATTCAACTTTAGCCCTGCTGTGCAGATGTACCATAAAGTCATATATATCTTTCAGTCTACGCTGCTTTATCAGCCTCTCCAAATAAACTACAGTATGTGTTTGTATGTTTCTTTCATGGAGTCTTGATACTACATGATGTAAAGCATAGGAAACAGATCATTATGGGTGCATCTACACAGCACCCTTAGCTCAAAATAAGCTACGCAATTTGCACAATGCAATTTTCACTACACAAATTGCATAGCTTATTTCGAGTGTATTTTGAAATAGCTTATTTCGTAATTTAGCACTGTCTACACAGCACCAAAGTTCAAAATAACTCACTATTCCAAAATTCCCCTTAACCCTCATGGAACGAGGGTTACCGGGACTTTGGAATAAGCCACCTATTATTTTGAAATCTATTTCAAAATAATGGGCTGCTTCAGTAGACACGGAATAGCTATTTCAGGTTCTTCCAGTATCCCAAAATATCTCCGCAGAGTAGATGTTTCCTATGAGGTTTTTTTGTGTGTCTCCAAGTCACGAGTTAGTAAAAAGAAACTTGGTCCAAAATATTTAGCAGTACTGTATCTTTTAGAAGTGCCGTAGAAAATAAGTCCTTGAAGGCATGGTCTAAGCAGCAAAATAAGTCTTAGGAATCTCTGTACAAGAATAATCCTATCTTCTAAAGATAAACACATTAAACATACTTCAATGGTGGAGATCGCAGAGAAATGAGCAAAGATGTTTCTGATGGGCATTGTTTTACAGAGGTGTACTGTAAACAGAAAGAGAGCAGGGAAAAAGCAAGAAATTGCTCTGACTTCAAACCAGTCCTACCAAATAAAAGTGATACTGTGTGTAATTGTTCAGAACTTCACTGGATATAGTCCTTTTGCCTGGGTGACCTTTCCATCCTTGGACCACATACTTGCATAACTGTGCTACTGTTCTGTAATCCTTTTTAAAGTCACATAATTGTGCAAGCCTACTGGAAAGCTAGATACAAAAGCACTTTATATATACACAAGATCATTCATGCCTCTATAGTTGCAGCTATTTCACACACCTTTGGCTCTCCTTTTGTTAAACTTGGGCCTGATTTTCAAAGGCAGCCTTCACTCATACACCAATAAAACTATGTATGCATGGACCTATATGTAGCTGCTTTTGGACATGCTTCCTACCCATGTGGGCAGGTGACCAAATGTATTACCAGCACGTTGAGTGATGAGGATTTGTACATGTAAATTCTATCTCCTAAGCCTGCATGTGATTCAGTGTGTCGCCTTCACAGACATGGTAATGCTCAAAAAAATCAGGTCTGGGATCCAAATGAAAACCAGACTCTTTGTAGCTTTTAAAGTAGAGGGATTAGAAGAGGTGCAAGAAGGACATATGAAGTGATTGCTTTGCAAAGTGGAAATTTTACCTTAATGCCTTTCTCAGCACCATCCAGAGTAATTTATGCTTTTCTCACTCTACTTATTTACTTCTGTCCCCCATTAGTTTGTTATTGCACTGGAAGTGTCCATGGGGCTTTACAGATCATTTGAACAGGCAAGGTCCCTGCTCCAAAAACACAGAGTCTCTAACTCATGCAAATACAAGTCACCAGACAGTATTTTCAGTCAGAGAGGGCAGAGACATTGTCAGAGGGGAGAGCAGTATAGAAAATATGCCTCACAAAAGGAATGGGCATGTGATAGAGATGGGGCTAGTGTACGGGAGAGGTTGTTGCAAGAGCAGAGAATGATCAGAAACAAAGGACACCAGAGAAGGCAGGAGAGAGGATGTGGGGTGTTATTTCGATTAATTTACAGAGCACCTTTTACTTGTAAGGATTCCAAATCACTCTGTAGAAGGAGTCTCCTCCCACGGGGCAGCTGCCTCAGACTGCAAAACAACTGTATGTCGTCATGGAGGAAAGGAAGTGAAAAATACTTTATCTAATTTGAAAGTGCAGGAGGAATGTAGATTAGTAGATTGTAACTATCTATCCTGGTGATTGACTGGCTCGCTGGTACTAGTGTGCCCCTACCTCTCCAGGGGAAAAATGTCATGGAGCGTTTCTGGATCACCTGCAGTCTGGAGACTGATTTTAGGTATCCCCTAACACCGTATTGGGCGGGGGGTGCTGATTCAGCCAAGAATGAAGAGAGAAACACTCCTGCTGTGTATGGAACAATGAGATAGGTCTCCTGATCAAATAATGTAATAATGGTCATTGTAACCTGCATATCTCTTCTAACAGACTAAATTATTCCTATTCTGCTGTTTCTACTGATTCACTGGGGCACAGTTGAGGAATGGGAACCTCTTTGTTACCTTTCTTCTCCTGCTCCAGAGTTTTGTGAACACTTAGTGAAGAATGTGTTGTAAATAAAGATACCCCAGTTCTGAGAGGTGCCAAATAGGAACTATGTCCATTGAGGAACAGAAGGAGTTCACCTGTTTCTGGAAGGGGCTCAGCAGCTTGCAGGACTGAATCAATCACATCTTCTATATCCCCTCGCTCCCAGTCCCACAGTAGAAATCTGGGGGAGGAAGAAATGCTCCTTCCTTGGAATACGAAATTACCATTTCGTTGTTCTTATCAAGAGCCAAGTTCACTTCAAGGGAAGAGAAATCCAATTACAATTCTTTGGTATATTCAGAACCTCCACTGAAATAATGAAGAAATACTGCATCTGGGACAGGATCTGACCTGAAGAGTGTCACTTAGTTCCCTCGTATTTTCATGATAAAAAACGTATTTTAACCGTATGGCTTACTTTCATATCTGTTATCCATGATTTTTTCAGGTGAATTTTACTGCCTCATTTGCTGATTATAAACCAACAAATTGCTGATGATGGGTTGAGAATACCATTGGTCATTGATTTAGAGATGGACTTGGACTGTGAAAAACAACATGGATTCAGAGAGCTGGCGTAGTTAGGATTAGTCCTGTTTTGGGCAGGGGACTGGACTCAATGACTTCCTGAGGTCTCTTCCAGCCCTAGGATTCTATGATTCTATGCCAATAGGGCAAATCTCTGTTATGATTAGATCTTGGTTAATGTCCTTAATATGGCATGGCATTCCAGCTTCCAAAATCACAAAAGCATCAATGTAGTAATGCCAGGGAACTGGGATTTGGGTCCACAGATAGTATACGTCAGTCTACATCTAGGAAGGAAAATGTGAAATCTGTGATTGCATGCAAAGAGGTAATTGCTCAGTTGCTTGGAAATAAGGAAAAGAATTTGTTGCATTGCATTGCAGAATCTGAAAGTGTGCTGCCTCATATTGGTAAAAAAAAATCTTATAGCGCTTAGTACTAGGCTTTGATAAACCTGTTGATATAAAATACAAACTAAGATGGAATGAAATTTGGGGTAAAAAAAAAGCATTTTCAGCAGTAACAACAAGAAGTCCTGTGGCACCTTGCCACTATATGCATCCAACGAAGTGGGTCTTTTCCCACGAAAGCTTATGCGCTAATAAATCTGTTAGTCTGTAAGGTTCCACAGGACTTCTCGTTGTTTATGCAGTTTCAGACTAATACAGCTAACCCTCTGATAACTCTCAGCAGTATAAATAAAAAGCTATGTTCAAGTAGGATTTACCCTGCTTTATTCTGCTGCACCTCTACAATTAGCTACATAGTGTCCATTTTGATAAGTCTGCAAAATCTACACAGTCTTGACTTGTCTTCTGTTTCTTGCAGGTTGTTAAATCCAAAGAACTCCCTTCACCAGGACAGCGTTACATTGATAGCAAGGTGGTTAAAACAAGAGCTGAAGGGGAATGGCTGTCTTTTGATGTCACTGAAACTGTGCATGAATGGCTCCATCACAAAGGTGATGACTTGTGCTCTTCTCTCTTGATTCCCACCCAAACTTTAACTCCATTACCTGAATTATTTCAGGGTCACTCCAGAGGTAAAAATGATTCCCATCGCCTTCATGTTTTGCAGAGAGGAACTTTGGATTTAAGATAAGTTTACACTGTCCATGCTGCACCTTCGTGCCTTCAAATAATTATATCATCCCAAATAAAAGTGAAGAGCTAGAAGCAAGATTTGCAGGTAATGAAGCAATAAAATGGGGGTTGGGATTGTACAGAGGGCATTGATGTTTGCTGATTACAAGATATAAATATAAGGACCTTTTTTGGTCTCTGTAAAATATAAAATACAGTTCATGTGGGAGCATGATGAAGAACTAGAGAGTTTGGCTGTTTGTTGGAGGGAATGGGATGATTGAGGACACACAGGAGAAGCCATGGCAATGCCATAAAATAGGACTGTTCTGCAACTGAATCAATAATGCACAAATGGTTCAGTGCATCCACACTAGCCTGTTCCATACCATTTTCATTTCACTGTCAATCATTATTGATCTCACAGTTCAAGGAGCAGCTACTCCCAAAGTAGTGGATTCTGGGAGATCTTTAAAGGTCACCAGTGCACTATGGGTCATAAATGAGTTGACAGTATTGACTGAACTGCTTCTGTATGAATGATTTTATTGCTGCCACACTGGCACTAACATGGTACAGGTTACAATAGTGCAGAGTCAACTGTTGATTAGTGCTGGTGTAGGCAGGTATAATCCAGAGAGTATTTGCAGCACTGTCGTCTATGATGTGTTCTAGAGGGACTAAACAGTTCTCTCAGCATGGTAAATTTCTCTAGTATAGTCAGGGAAGTAGTCAAGTGTTTTTGCTTTCCATTCCCCAAATAAATAAGTAATGTCTTCAGCTTGGAGGACAGAAGCCACTCACATGACATGAAGAATATCATGATGCCAGACACTGGCTGATCACAAGATACCATTTTTTGGAAGAGTAATGGTTCTGTGGCTACTGTAAAAACCACCTCAAATGCTTCTAAAGTCCCCATTGCCATTATATACCAGATGAAGGGGCTGGAAGGACCGATTTATGAGGGAAGATCACCTGAACAAAATAATATGTATTGGTTAGTGACATGGAAGACTCTAGGAGATGAGACTGTATAAGCGTTTGTAAGATGTAAATATGAAGGAGGAAGATGAATTGCTCAGGTGGTGTAATAGGCTAAAATAGGAATAATAAAATTAAATTAAACACAGGAAACTGAAGGTGAAATGTCAAAAGATGATCTAATGATTCCTTCTGGCCTTAAAAGCTGTGAATCTCATTCTATTGAATTGGTCTCCCATAAAAAGTGGCAAAATCATCATCATGTAGATCTTTTAAAACTAGCATAGACCAAGTGGACTTTCCCATATGGATAGGTGAGCCAATAGGCCTTTTTCATCACTAATGTTGATAGATCTATTATGTGCCTTCAAAAAGCCATTCAGATAGCTTATCATTGGGGGAAGGCCAATACAATGTAGACATGAGGGTATATACCTTAATGCAGAGATCTCAGGTTGTGATCCCCTGCCCCCATGATACACTCAGATGATGTCCTCACCACCAGTTTTCTAAGACAGATTTTTTTAAAGAGATGGTTTATATAATTTGTGAAGAAAAAGCAACACAATGTTTATCACCAAAATGTATTTTTTGAAGGTATTGATGACTCCTACATATATTCCAGTGGTGATGGGAAAGCTTTCAGGTCCAGTAGGAAAAAATACAGTGGGAAGACCCCACATCTTCTGCTAATGTTATTACCCTCCTACAGACTTGAGTCGCAACAACCCAGTCGGCGGAAGAAGCGTGCTCTAGATGCTGCATATTGTTTTAGGTAAATACATGTATATAGTCAGCTTACTTATACTTACTCCTACATGCCTAAAAGCGTAACTTGGGTTGTTCATAATATGATTTGCTAAATTTCTTTTCACTAGATATTCACACAAAACTCTGCCCCATGTTCTCAGACAGGTTAGATAAGTCTGTAATAAAACTGACATGTCCATGTGGGATCTGCATGTAATAGGAGGTTCATGCTCACCTTCTGTTGAAGTTAAGGAGAACTGAGAGTGCCCAGGACCTTTAGAAAACAAGAAATCAAGATCCACCAGTACTAGTCCCCAACCACACCAAATACGTAATCGCAGGAAACAGATCATGTAAGGATGCTAATCTCCCCAGAGGAAGTTTACGCTGGCAACGGAGCGTAGCTGGGGGTGGGGAATGTTCCTAATTTTAAGTCTGGCAAACAATTGTATGTGTGAACAGAGCAAAATTGTGGTTAAGCGTTGTATTGTGTATACTCTGAGGTTGTATTGTTTTCCAAGTAATTGCCTCTTTTTCTTCTTGAACTTCATAAGTGTAGATTCTGCCAGTATCTCACAGTTTAAAGAGCTACAGCTGAGTCACATAATGCCGTAGGGATTGGTCAGTTGCCCTGCATAGTTCTTCATTGCAGGGCCACAAAATCTTAAGTCTCTCAGGTACTATTTTTTCTACACAGGAGACAACTATAATTTCTCAAATATATGCCTCCAATTCATCATGGGTAGACTCAAGTCTGATTAGTGCTTCCTTTGTACATGGGATTACTTGTCTAATTGTATCTTAACATCAGTAGTGAGGCAACTATGGGTCTAACTTTGGTGGTCTCAGGACTTGGTCCTTAGTGCTTGGAGTTGAAATCATTGCTTAGGCACAGTATGGAATCTTACAGTGTGAATTAATATGAAAGTCAGGGTTAAGGTCACCTGATAAGCATTATGTAGGAAGCACTTACACCCCCCACCCACCCACACCCACTGTGCTTCTGACCAATGCATTTCTCTGTATTTTTATTTCCAGAAATGTGCAGGATAATTGCTGCCTGCGTCCACTTTATATTGACTTCAAGAGGGATCTTGGCTGGAAATGGATTCATGAACCTAAAGGGTATCATGCTAATTTTTGTGCAGGGGCCTGCCCATATTTATGGAGCTCAGATACTCAGCACAGCAGAGTAAGTCTTGCCTTTTGAGAACTTTGATTCCTGTGACTTTTATTATTATGTGACAGGAATCCTGTGACTGTGATTCCTGTAACTGTGTTAAAACCTTGGGTAGAGTGATATTCTCATTGCCACCAAATACCAAAAGCTTTCAAAGTTCAAGACCGAGTGGTAAAATGCAGCCATGTACAGGGGATCGGCATAAGGCCTCAGCTGAGAGATTGAGTGGGTCATATGTGCCCTTGTGCTAGCCCTCTGCATGGGAGTGAATTTCATTTTAACAGTTAGCCAATCACCAAGACATATGGATGCATCACATATGTCCTAAACATCACAAAGTGAGCGCTTTAGCTTCGCCGCTCGCAAAGTCGACAAGCTAAGCCTTGTCGTGCTGTTTCTGGAAGTTAACACATTCTAGTTTTGCAAGGCTACTTCAGAAAATGTAGCTTCCATTAAGGATTCCCTTTCTTTCACCTA